CTGATGTACGACAGACGAGTAATCAGAGGGAACACATTCTCACGTCATTTTTGGCCGGCGACACTCAAGGATAGGTCAGATGATCAATCTCCGCTTATGCAAGTTAAGAAAAATTCAAGACGTGTAAAAAAATCTGGTGATGTGAGTGCATGTACTTAATTTCGCAAAATGGCAAAGCATGCAAACTGTAACTACTTAATTATGCACATGTTTATGCCTTTTGTGTGCTAATTCATATGCAAAACATGAACTGGAATAACCGCCAGAAAATGTTTTACCTTATACTCTGTACTCAACAAAGTATGGGATTAAGTGTCCCGTCATTTCCCAAGTTCTCCAGGACCATGCAGACTGGGAGGGACTGGCTCCGTCAAATTAAAAGCAACCTTAGTTCTTACTTAGGACTCGCGTGTATATTATACAACTTAAACCTAACAAGGATATCATTTTTCAATTTTAATTATTGAAAACTGATGTATTATGCAAAAGATTGATAACTGGGAGGAGTTATGATTGACTGTCGGTACAGCTGGAATTTAGTTGATGGACTTCTTAACTGATAAAACACGCTTTCTTTCATAGGTAAAGCCGCTTGATCCGCTGCCTGTTGAAGGTCGGCAACATGTTGAAGTACAAACGGCTTTGTATCTGGAGGAGCTTGCCGATGCGGTGGAACAAGCAGAAACTGACTGTCAGACAGACCCGTTTTTGGACCGTCCACCTTCGCCACTCTTTATGCCATCAAAGTCAGGCCTTGACAAAGCAACGGAAATTCTGCCAGATGACGTAGATTTTTCACTTTTTTTTCCTTTTTGCCCTTATGTTCCTCTATCTAACATTAAACACTCGGTTTGTGGGCAGATACATAGTTGTGCAAATTAAATCCCTTTATAGCTTACATAAATGGCGATTTTCTGCAAGCATGTGTTGCTTAAGTTTAAGCTGATATATCATGTATTTGATGAAATGATTTTTTCTTGTTGATTGCTGTACAATATTTTTTATGGTGAAGAATTTTTGAAACCTCAATGGGGTGTGATTTGACAATTGGTATATAAAACCACCAGCACAACTAAACACTTAAAAACTTTATCCATAGAGTATGTAATTCATTTACGGTTTGCGTAATATTTCGAGCAAATTGAAATTGCACAATTCTATAGGCGCCGACTGCGGTGCGCGTCTGGGATTTGCTTATTGTATGTATCAATACTTGATAAAGATTTGCTAAAAATATGAAAAAATATAAATTTTTATTAATACCGAACACTTTGCACATATAGGGCGATGATTATGTTTATTCATAAATCTCTTATATGAAATGCATGCCTCCTATTCGTTTCTTGCTTGAACCTGTTTTTATTGAATTAAAAAACTCATTGAATTTGAAGTATTTAGTAATACTTAAACTACAAATCCAAAAAATTCAGCTCTTCTTCTTCGAAGTGGAAGTCCGACCAATTCTTGAAATTCTGGTTGGCAAAACAATCGAACAAGCTCTTATAGAGGTTCTGGAAGAGGAGGAATTAGCAACAATTAGAGATCAACAACTACGGTTTCAAGAGCTTCGACAGGCCGATCTAGCCGAACAACACCGCCTGGAGGAACGAGAAAGAAGAATAAGGCACGCCCAAATTTTCTGTTAATAGCATTTCCCAAAATTTTTGATTGCATTGGAATAAGTGTAACCATAATACTTATACGGGTTCTACTGGTTTATTTGTAAGACTTGCATTAGGTTATATTCCTCAAATTTTATCCTATTTTTGTAATTACTACTATTCAAGAGAGGAAAAAGAACGACGAATGAAGCAGCATTTGGAGTTCAGTGCTCGTCGGAAAGAACTGGCGGAAAAACTGGCTGCTCGAGCTTTCAGTAAAATGTATATGGAACCACTTGTTCCTACAGTATTTGATCATCTTTACGAGAATGGCTACTTTTATGATGTCGTCGAGAGGGGTACGTTTTAAGAAGACTTTTTTCGTACACTGAAGTTTGTGCATTGATTCACAATTGTCTCTACTGTCTCTACTAAGTTAATGATAGTTGCTTTTCTTAGATATTATATTTCTACTCTGCTAGGCCAAAAACAGTGTGGGCTACCGACACTCCGGTTGTTTGTTTGGCTAACTGACTACAGTTTTGTTTCCTTGTAGGTTACTGTTGTGGACCTAAATCCCTAGTTGATGACACTCAACATTTGATTTTTTCCATTTGCCATTCATTCATGCCCGTATGACGTGAGAGTCCGCTTTTTACAGCCACTCACGTCAAGTGACGGGCTGCCGACGTTGTATTCAGTAGTGAATATAAATGTGTACTTGCGGTAGAAAACCCCATCTTAGGATAATTTTTGAGCAGACATGAAGGATGGCCATTTGAAAATTGACTCGCTTTGAAAAACATAGTGAATTTGAATTCGTCGGTGATTATTAAGCTTTAGATTCGAGGGTAAATGTCCGAAGACTATAATAATAGCATAGAAAAGGTTCCTTTGGCCCATATAATGAAATCGAAGAATTTGTTATAGTATAACTCTGTTTTTACTTTTTCTCTTAATACGCTTTCTCTGCAGTTATAATAATTGCGAATAGTTAGAAATGCCAACATTGTCCGTCGCCTAATTTAAATAACGTTCTTTATGTCCATTTAATAAAAGTGCATAAATTTATTGTCTTTGTTCCGCAGGAATCGCATCGCATTTTATTTGGATTGTGTCGGGTTCATTCTCCTGCGACATCGCTAAAATTATCATATGAAGGTTACTGTAATAAACAGTTTGAGCCATGGTTGTCATCCAAATTACCCTGCATACTTAGTCGACATATACTAAATGACTGTTTTTGAATCATATTTGTTAAAGTCTACCATGATAACGTTCAAGCAATGACAGTGCTTGAGGTATTGTTAAAGTCATTTTATCATTTAATTTTATTGTTACAGATGTTGAAACAAACTTCCTGCCATGGTTGATGGATGCTGTCGGAGATGAGTTAGACTTCGAGACCAACGTCCGAGGACTCATGGACTTGATGATACGTGAGGTATGGTAGAACTCTGCGCATGTCTTCGACTTTCCTACGATTACCTATGATTAAGGATTCTCGACAGACTCCGAAACTTCAGGAAAGTAAAACTCTTGTTCCAGTGACCGCATCGTCTTCTTCTGAACTGCTTCCTGGAATTCGCACATTCTTCTCTAGTGGCAAACTCTTCCACCCTTTGCAAAAACCACAAATAGATATGTTCTGCTAGACAGGAGACTTAACCGTACCTAGGGGGGGTCAAAGTCGATATCGACCTGAAATGTACCTACGATAGAAACGCCAGTAGCTACGTCCGGATTGTTAGTACGGTTTATAAATACTTTATGTTCACATCAGTGGTTAAGTAAAATGCCTGCTTTGGAATTTACTCACATAAACTATTCAAACGCAGGAACTTTTAGATATTGTTAAGGATCCGTACACGAGACTTTCCGATTTTCTGACGCTGAATGGGGAAAATGGAAAACTTTCGGGGACTTCGTGTTAACACTCAGAGTTTACACGCAGAGAGGCTTCTTGAATTGCCGCATATACTTCACTGAATCCTGTTGCTTAGTTTACAACTTTCCCCGGAACGTAGAGTGTTAATCTGCTAAAAACCTTTACTGTTGAAGTATTCTGGTACCTTTGTTAATCCTTTCAAGGTTAAGTGACGTTATTTAGTCATTAACTAGATTCTCCCCCGCCCCGCCAGGTGGTCACTGAAAATTATCAGGCCTATGCAGCTTTAGAGGCCGCGGAACTTGCCGCTAGGCTGTCGGAGGAACAGCAGACCATGCTGAGTCACCTGGAGCCCACAGCGGACCTGGTATCCAGCAGTGATGAAATCAGATCAACGGAACCGAGCTCGGAGCCCCAGACGGCTGGATCCACGGACGGATCGGTTCAAGTCGACGATCGCATAGATGCTATCCGCCGCGAGCGCTCCAG